GCTCCCCGTAACGGCGGAGCCGCTTCTCGTTCCAGCTGGGGTTCGAGGATGTGATCGCGGAGCCCGAGCTAACCCACTCCTTCGACAAAGTCTGGATCTGCAGCCACGCTCTCTTCGAGCTCAGCAAGTACGTGATGTACAAGCTGCTGACGCTGGTCCTCGCCATACCGCTGGCCCTGGTTTTGGGCATCGTCTTCGCCGTGCTCAGCTGCCTGCACATCTGGTGAGTGCGCGTTGCTGCTGGCGCTGCGTGGGTGCTGCGGGCAAACTCTCCTCTTGTCACATTACTGCCTAACAGGTCACCGTCTCTGCAACCGATAGTCAGGTCGACTTACGTTGTCTGCTTTATTTTTAAAGGGAGAGAAATGAAAACAATGCTTTCTCTGGGATTCAGCTCCCTGCCTTGCTTTTACCAGTGGTCCCTCATGTGTGTGTAAGCTCCTTGGGGCAGAGAGCCCGTTTGACCATTTGTGTGGCACCCACCGCAACGCATTCCAGCCTCAGCTGCCTTCTGGAGTGATGCTATGATTGCTTTTTTTTTTTTTTTTTTTTTTTTAAACTGGTTGTTAAGTTGTTAAAACACGTATATTTGAAACAACAGACCTGGGCACAACTATTACTTACACTTGACACCTTCTCAGTACGGTTGCCTCTTTCATTTTTTTCCTCACAGAGTGAAGAAAGCTTTTGAGGGCCCAGCTCCCTCTTTCTTTGCTACTGCCACAAAATCTACTGTCACTGCCTTGCATCTGGTACATGGCCATCTCTCGGTGCAGTGCCCCAAAGTGCTTCCACCTAAGCAAACAACCCCTGCTGAGCTTAGGAAAGCTGCTTCTGGCCATGGCCCAGGTTCACAGGCAAACACAGTAGCCCTCCAAGTCACAGCAAACCTGGTGTGCTTGAAACAGAATATACAAAATAGCAGGGAAGAGTAACGTGAGACCAGAATGGCAGATGATTGTGGAGAAAGAGAAAAGGCAGGGAGAAAAATGAGGTTGAGGAAAGAACTGAGAGTCCAGCAGGCTCCAGAGGAAGGGGTGAATGCAGATTATCAACGTCATTCCTGTAAACCAGGATTTTCCGTATACATGGGTTTTGGGCAGTCTCATTTGACTTGGGTAACACTGGAATCATGAAGTTGTCAAGGAAAACAAAATACAATCCAGAAACTGAGAAACAAACTCAAAGTAATAGGAATATTTTGGTTGTCTGATCCTGTGGTTACAATTTTTTGGATGCAGATTTCAGTTTTCAAAAGTGGAATGGAAGTTTGGGTTGATGACATTGTCATGAGCTACTTCAAAAACTGATTAACTTGAATTTTGGAGAATAAAGTTTGCATAATATCTGAAGGAGTTGCAATGTAGTTTAGAGCTGCCCACCTGCTACTCCCCAAATTATGAAGAACATTGTATAGTGTCCCCAGACTTTTAGGTCTGTCAGATGTCACTGTACTGTACTGTACCATGTTACTGCAGAAGGGTTTCGTGGGCATATAGATTTCCAGTAGTGGAATATCCATGGAAGAATTAATTGATGCCCAATATATCAAGACTCTAATAAGTTTTTGTGCTTTGGAATGATCTTGTATCTGGATTTCACAGTCTGGGCACGTAGGCATGAGTTTCACTGAACCAAGGCTCAGAGGTCAGTTTCTATTTATGCAAGTCGTCCCTAGTGACTCTCTCAGGAACTGTGGGTTCTCAGTACATCTGAAATAGGACTGCCTGAATGTGGCACTTGATTTTGAAAAGTTTCCCTTGACATTCGGTGAACACACGTGCTTCCCCAACAACTAATTTTCCTTCTCTATGTTCATTGTCGATACAGAAGCGATCGTTCATTTTGATCTTCCTTGCACCTGGGGTGGGTGTGAAAGAATCACGTAACTCGGTAGCGCTATCTGCACCCCTTTGGACCCCATCCAGTCCTCCCATCCAAAGCCAGCACTGTCTCGTCTTCCCACAAACACAAGCTGGATCTGTTCCAACGCAAAGGTGGAACACGCTGAGACTAAGTTGGCTTCTCTACAGCTCTCCATGTTCCAGATTTCTTGGGAGTAAGGAGTTGAATGTTTCTGCATTTGAGCGGCTAGCACAGGAGCAACAGATATCAGAGGCATTAGTCAGTGGAGGCATAGGGACCCTGAACACACGGTACTGGCTCCCGTGTAGCCCCAACGGGTCTGAAAAAATAGTAATTCCTTGTTTTGTGGGTGAGAGGGAAGGGAATTCCATTATAACTCTGTCTTCAGCTGTTGAAACGTCATGGGAAAGCCCTGGGCGCACCCTCCCACAGGGCTGCCTGCAGCAGGGCTTCTCAGAACTTCTGTGCTTCACTTTCGTCATCCAAACCAGTGAGCTGATGATGTCGATCTGTCGTAGGGGAGCCTTTCCTGAGGCTAAATTTGAAAGTGTTTCAACAACTTTTGGAAGCGCTCAGGCACAAAGCTCTGTTGATTGTCACACATGCTGTTGCGGTTTTGTCAGCGTGCTGAAAATCCACAAAAGTCTGGCTCAGCATTCCTCATGCATCAAGGGCATCTCATGAGTTGCACCTCTCATACCTGACAGTAGGTAGGTAGGTAGGTCTTTCACCAACAAAAAGATTGCTAAAGGAGGAAGAAAACATGTGAGACTTCATGGAAATCAAAAAGAAAGCTGAGTAAGAAGTATGTAATAATAGACTCAATCTTTCCTTTTGGCCTATAAAGAATGAACATACTCTGGTTCTGTTCTCAAACTGGCTGGTTGAGCTAGAGTCCAGTTTTACACTACCTGGTAAAAGATATCAATGGGCTGAAACAACAGCTAGCAGGTTGGTGACCTATATACAAGCTAGTTCAAGGAAGGCTCCTTGAAATTTCGGCTTCTTTACTGATGGCTGTCATTCTCACCACAGATTGCGGAAGCTGTCAAGACTGAGTTTTAATATCTTTCTGTGAATATCTGAGCAAGCTTTTAAACATGTCCTCCTTAGATTAAGGTTGTTAAGGTTGTTGATTTTTTGGACATGAGCAGAACACTTCTAGTTTTCCAGGCAGCACATGCAAAATCATGATCTTTATTATAGATTGGGGACTGATTCTTGTTCCAAGCCACATGTATGCCACCTCTTGGAAATTAACACTTGAATCTCATATATGCTTTGTTGTAGCCTTGTCTGAGTAGTGTTCTGGTATGTTGCTTATTTATGCTAAGAATCAGTGGTTCATTTGAGGATCTGTAACCTGAGTCTTGGATCTGAGATGGGCTCCAAAGCACAGGGACTCAGCCAGCTTCATGCTGGCAGTAGGTGCCGGGAGCTCCTCTTGGCTTGAGCTGCCATTCACAGTGCTACGATGTAGCCAGGGACTTATATGTAGAGAAGCAGATGTGGACGTGCATCACCTCTTACCTCTTTCTCCACAACTCCATTTACCCAACTTATTGCTATCATACCTAACGCCCAAACCATCTCCCAGCTGGCTGTCTGAAATCAAAAGAAATTACAGTACAGCTGTGCCACGAAGACCCACCTTATGATCTGGTGTTGCCTCGATACCTCTTCATTCATGTCCAGTATATATCCCTTGGCTTCTGAAGAGGAAGTAGGTGGATGTTGTCTTGCTTCCTTTTTAGTTTTATCTTTTCCAGTCTACCTAGGTCCTGTGATATATAAAGTTTGGTTTTAATGCGCTTCACACACTTCAGGTCCTGGAAGGCTTTGGTGGTTTATCTCTTGCCTCAGTCATAAATATCCCAAGGGCTAATGGGACTTGACAAGAAGCTCTGTAGCTGTTCACAATTCTTGGTTGTGTTGTAGAGCCATGCAAGACTTTTAATTCAAAATCATGATGTCATACGTGTGCATACATGGAATTAGGTAATTTAACCACTGAATGGTATAGCATTAAGACGTGTCTGAAGTTCCATTTTGAAAAACATTACAGGAGAAGATGTGATTCTTCACTTTGAAACAGGAATCTGCACTATTATTGAATGACTGCTCCAACTGTATTGCCCAACTCTGAAAAATTGAGCTGCTTTGGACTGAAAATACCTTTATCAGTGGGAATTAAATTGTGCTCTGCCATTTCCAAGAGGTGTTTGGTTCTCCACAATGTTCCCTCAGGGATTAGCAGAAAAAAAGTAATGTGAGCAAAAGTGTGAAACATTGATAGGTATAATTTTGTAGATGCCATGCCTTGAACAGAAAGAAGAGAAAATAGGATAAGATGGAAAAAAGGGGGTAATTTGCTCTTTTCAGTTCACAGTTCCCAAAAGAGGTGATTCCTTCTACTTAGTGAAAGGATGGGTATTTTATGATATATATATACATAGCAAGATTCAATGAGAGGTCACATAGGTAGTTGAAATAACTCAGCTAAGCTTCAGTTTAGATGCCAAATTCAACAGAGCTTTGATTTTCTTCCCAGTACTGTACCAGTACAGCAGTAAATGTTGATATCCTTGGGATATGCTGAATTTACTTCCACTGTTAGACATTACTCAAGCAAACATTTACCGTCTCTGTGAATAGAAGTGCAGACCGGGGTAAACCCACAGCACTGGGAGTAAAGGATGTATATGTTAATGTTTATTTGACAGGTCACAAAAACAATTATGTAGCTTCTAATGGCTCTTGGTTATTTATTTTTTAAGTGTGCCTGGTCACTTCACAGAAGGCACATCGCACCCTCTGATGATTTGGAAATGCCACACAGTAGGATAATATTTCCTATGCAGAACGGGATGTGTGCTTATATACATATAGCTACATATATAGACACACTCACATTTTTTAAAGTTAGAAACTACCTTTTACTGCTCTCCTGGGTGTAAAGGATTTTATTCTCTGAGGAAAGGTGTTTCAGTAATTGTTGCCTAAGTAGACTTAAGTTTATTTTAAAATTGAAAGTTATTTACATTAATCAGCATTGATTGCTAGCATGCATCAAAAATCCTCCTATGGAGTTAGCCTACATTGTTTTTTGTGTGCATTTACCATAAAATCTGATGGCAAGTGTTAAAAAATTATAAAACATTACCAAAACATTTTTATATTTATTGTATTTAAGATTATCAAAAGAGTTCTGGTATGAATGACCTCTACAGCAGTTGCAAGTAGTATGACGACTTTTTTTCCAGCCTTCCCTAATGACATCGTGGTGATTCACTACATCTTTCTGTGAAACTTCTGCAGAGCGTGGTATTTGTTTAGTTTGTATTTCATGTGATCCCACCGAGAGAGGGTCCAATAGAAATGTCGTTTTTTCTGCTTCTCTGCAATTCAGTTAGATTTTAAAAAAATGCAGGCCAAATTAATTTTAGATGGCACCAAAGGAGCAGTGACACAGCCTTTATAAACTAACTGAAATGGAAAAGGGGTGAAGTCAACACAAGCTGAGTAGCCAGTTCTGGTGTTTTCCCTGTGTTGCTTGGAGAAATACCTTTTTTTTCCCCTTTGCATTACTGATGTTTATAAACTGTATTCTAATGCACGAAGCCCTAATTTTATTCTTTTGAAATTATCTATTCTATGTGCAGTGATACTACAGGTGATTATAAAACACACAGTTTACTGAATTCAGTTTAAAACTAGATACACATTATTCCAGTAGCGCTCACAGTTCCATATGGTGTGTATATTACTAGCTGTTTCAGCAGAGACAAAAGAAGAGAAGGTTTTAGAAAAACTATTCTTGTTTAAATCCATCTGAGTTAGCTTAGAGTGCAGCATAAACATACTAGTATATGGCTTGCATTGTGTGATAAAAGCTTAGAATCTGGTTAGACAAACACTAAAAATAATTCATTTTAACTCTTTACATTTCTAAGCTTCAACTTTTTTTTAAATGTACAGTGGTTTTTTTCTACTTTTTTATTCTGAGCGGTACTCGTTGGAAATACACAATACTTAACATATTTTTCAGACTTACGATGAAAGAGTAAATTAAATATTTCCTGTCATTCCAATCAAATTCAGTTAGAGTTTTGCAATGGAATTATGTGGACGCAAGACCGGGATCTTAAATTTTGGGTGCAACAGCAAACTAGAACAGATTTTATTATCTTTATCAAGAGAACCTGAAGCTTCTTCTACCTAATGTAGAAAATAAATGTGTTACATATGGCACAGAGGTTTTTTAAAGCCTTGGTCTAGTACCACTTCAGTAGTACGTAAATAATTTATACATTTGATTTGTCTGCATCCAAACAAGAACATCCGGCTTAGTGGAATGACCAGGGGTTTTGGCCAGTAAATGATTAAGACAGGAGAATAACTTAAACTGGTGCGGAGAGTTATCGCGCATCCTCTGGCCCCTGTGAGCTGCCCGTATGCGCCCTTCTGGCTCACCCCCGTTGTTAGTATGCTTGGCTTAAGCCACCGCTAATGACATTGATTTGGAATTGGGACGTATGGAGAGCATCCCCAGATGGTTACTAGCGCTCAAGAGATGAAGGCACAACACTTGCAAGTATACACCCTGAGTGAATGAAGGGGTCTTCCCCCTGGCCAGGAGTTTGGACCTCATTCTACATTAGTTTCTCACCCACAAATGAAAAACTTTACAGTATGAGCAAGATCCTGTTTTTCTGAGGTTCAGCATGTGTTTGTGCTATAGTAATCAAATGTAACCAAATACTGCATTACTGTTTCTCTTTTATTGTAGCAATTTGTACCAGCCAGGTTAGATTGGCAGGAATGAGAGGGGAATGGTGATGTGCGTGTGTGTGCCTGAGCGTTTGTGTGTGTGAGCAAGGTGGAGGAAAGGGACACCTGGAGAGACAGCAGAGCAAGAACAAATCATAAAGGGTGCTGTTCCCAGTCGATCAAACTGGGGAACATGGTGTTTCTGCTAAGCCGCAAAGACCCACACTCTTCAGCCACAGTGGGGTGGCATCAAGGTTGCGACGTATCACATACACGCAGCCCTTCCAGCAGCAGGGAGAGAACAGCAAAAGGTCACCCCTGCAAAAGGCACGTCCAAAAACTAGCTCCGCATTGCCAATTGAGAACAGAGACATGACGAAAAGAAAACTGGCGTCCCGTGTTGCGCACAAGTGATCCTGGCCAGAGGCCCACGTGCATTATGGTGCTTCTGCATGCGCACGTGTGAGGCTGTGAGCGAACAAAATTGATGGAGAATGTGTGCAAGAGTGTAAAATCAACTTGTTTAGAGATTTAAAGTTAGAAAATTACTTCCTCTTCCACAAGATCTCACATGTGTGTTTGGTTATCCTGACTTCCCCGTGCTGTAGCAGCAGCAATCTTCAAATCTTCCATTTTCTCTTTTACAGGATTGTGGTGCCTTTCGTGAAAACCTGTCTCATGGTCTTGCCTTCAGTGCAAACTATATGGAAGAGCCTGACAGATGTTTTCGTCGTGCCGTTCTTTCAGAGCCTAGGCCGATGCTTTGCCATGGTTAATATACGCCTGGACCAAGAGTAAACGTCAGGGATGCGACACTGCTGTAATTGTAGCTGGTGTTATACCTCTTTGCTAACCTAACATACAAGCACTTACCATTCATTCCAAACTGTTAAATTACAATGGCTGGTTTAAGTGGGAACATGCTATTTTTTTTTCTAAAACTCATTTCTTTTCAGGGAGATCAGTTTAAGAATAAGTAGGCAGTTATCATAGCTCACTATTTTAACACCAGAGCAAACGCGGAGTATGTTGGCAACACCTTATTTTAACGGTACATCCATTGGTAGATTCCAGGAGAATTCTCGTGGAGGTTTAACAGCCACCACAGCGATAACGATTGGCGTTATTGCTATAGATATTTAAATAGGCTGTGATACCTAAGATGAAACAGATGTCTAGGGTTTCCCATTGACTTTACTGCAGTTCCACCAGGGATCATTTTTGGCCCTCACTATGCAGAATGATAACTCAGTCCTTTATTATCAGCAATTAAAGTGAACATGACTCATTGCATAAGCATACAGGGGAAAGAGACTCTTGCGTAATTCTCCTGTGCTGGGGAGGAAAAGCTCCCTGGAAGTTTGTCCCTTAAAATAAGGTGTTGGCTAATGATTTGGAACATCAGCTAATCTGTATATTTTATTTAATGAGAGGTTAACTTTGCTGTATATTTTGTACCTTTGTAAATGGCACTTGATTGGGTTTCTTTGAAGCATTATTTCTATAGTATTTGAATTCTAACCAATTTACTTGGCAGCAAGAGTGAGACACTGCAAAAATGACGTTAGATAACTAAAATTTCAGTTTCTAAATTATGTCAATTTTTAAGTGTTGCTGTGCAATTCTGGTATATTCATTATATATGGTTGCGTGTAAAAGCAAAGATTAGAAGTGTTTTCACGCAAGACTATGCAAAAGAGTTGGAAAGACCTGTTTATAGGAAATGCTTTTTATTAAAAATGGGGTGTAGTAAATGCAACCCTGTCTATTTCTGTGTTTTATCTGTGTGAACATTGTGATATTTAAAATTATAGACACTATGCTGGCACTTTAACAAGGGAGCAAGCTTTTATAGAAGGCAAGGGAGTATAATTAGTATCATTGTCTAATTCTCCTCACCTATTGACTTGACTCTCCATGTTGCTTATTTACTACTTTAAAGCCTAACCGATAAAAACAGCCCTTCTTCTTCCTTCTGCATCTAACATGGCTTTGTGAACCAGAATAAGAGAACGTATATAGAGGTACATTAAAATTACATTAGTCTTCTGATGGGCTTATGCTGCTGTTTTCTTTAAATACAGATGATAAATTGCAATTGTAAAATATTTGTATGATTTAGGATGTTATTTTATAAAATGATGTCACAGAATTCTTATCAAACAAGAGTATATAATAAAATAATAAAATGTCAGCTTTTTCCTATTTTCAACTTTGTTTTTTACAATTTTTCAACTTTTTAAAAAAGTTCTTAAAATGCCAAAGAGCATAGAATACTATGCCGTTCTTCCAAAATATAGGAGAGGGAAAAGAAATGGATGAGCATCAATACAGTTCCACTACTATCAACTGCATTTAACTTATTTATAGTAGAAAATAATGTTATCTCTCTGTGTAATTAAGCCCATGCAGAACGATTGCTTTCTCTTAAGCAGGTCTGTCGGGGCCGAATCTTGGCTGCATTCAAAAAAAGCTTAATTCTTTTTACAGGCGCATGCTTTATTTACACATGAGCTGCAGAATTTTCCTTTTCTTGCTTATTGGCCTACAGAAGCTGTCTGACACTGTATATTCTTTGTACATCAGGAACATCTTTCGATGTTAAAAATATTTTTACCTTTTGTTCCATTTAGAGAGGGATTCCTATGGCTTTTGAAAACTGGATCTTAATGATTAGTGCCCATGGAAACCTCGCTGGAGTTTTTTTTCTTCTGCAAGAAGTTAGCTTGCTATTCAGATGTGCTCTTCAAAACACCTGTCTTATGTTAAAAATGGAAATATCTCTTTTGAAAATAAAAATTGGTCAGGCTAGGCTTGAATTCTTTTGAGAGTTATTTTCTTTCACAACGTCCAAGGATTTTTACAAAGATATTTTCCACAGACAAAATGTCCCCTTGATGAATTAATAAAAAAAAATAAAAATCAATGAGTACTAGCCCTTATGTCTAAAAGAAGCCCTATAAAAACCTAAGCTTTGAGAGAACTTAGGTCTGAATCCAAACTTTGAAAATAAGGCCATCCCCTAGAGAAAAATGTATCATTTTAGGTCATGCACTACTGGATATAAGCTTTCTTAAATAGCTTACAGAAGTCATCCGGCTCCAGCTACCACAGACAATCTAGCAGAATGATTTGGTTTGTTCTTACTTTGATTTAGGTTTGTCGTTAATTAGTTCTTTTCACCACTTCTCTAGCTGTTACAAGACTCAAGTGAGCTTGGAATTAAGTAATTAAAGCTGTTATTTTTTTACATATTTTACAGCAGTTTCTTTGTCTGGAACAGGTGTGCTTTTACTATAAGAAAACACCAAATGGACTGTTAGATTTAGGGTAAAATGTTAGATGCCTGACAAATACGCTTACTGCATCTATGAAAGGAGTAGAAGGAAGCGTTTATATATACAGACTCATCAATGCTTAGGTGTGAATCTGCCCTGGGCAACTCTGGCTGTCAAGTATTCTCTGGATTTCATGGATTTGACAGTTCTGACAGACATCCCGAAGCTCTGCCCCAGCTGATACTGTCAATAGCTTACAGCATGGTCGGGCAACAGGGACTGAATGGGCACTGGCACTGAACTGTGATCTTCCATGTAGGGGTAGATTCCTTAAGTTCGTCTCCAATGTTTGACATGTGGACAAATCATCCCATCTGATCCCTTACCAGCAACTCACAAATGAGAATTCAGGCAAGAAGGGGAGACCAGAAACATAGTCTCATTGTCCGCAACAAATGTAAGAAAATGTACACCTGATTCAGACCATCTACTTTGATGCATTTTCTTCCCCTCTGTGGAATGGGGAAAACTTTATTGCTCTTAACAAGGGCAGACTTCCCATCATCATGGTAGAGTTATGAGGATAAATAAACAAAAAGTGTGAGATGATCCTGTTCCAACCTGCCCTTCGTTACTGAAGACCTTAGATTTATAATCATGACCTGGAGATTCAGTTCGGTCATGCAAAATATTTCAGCATCTTGTTTTTCATGAAGATCACAGCTAACATACAGAACTAAACCCGGATTTGTGTTTATGGACTTTTTTCTTTTAATTCACAAAGAAATTTAACCTGCCTTCTTATGAGAGCTATTTCATAAAATTCCTCTAATCTGACTCTAGAACTTTTATATTTGTATCTTTCCCCACCCTACTTGTTCACCATACAAATTGGAATAAATTCTTAACAGAAACTTTGACATATTAGTAAATGAGGAGCCTTTTCCCACCTATTCAAAAAGCTCACTTAGGCGTACACTGACTGAAAAGTTCAGAACATCCCTGCAGCTCTGGGACCTCAGACCACACACTCATATTTAGTGGAAGCCAAAGAACGGTAAGTCTATTATTTTTACAGGGCGTGATTGTTCCCCCACCTGCAGAGATAAAACTATTGCTTTTAAGCTGTATGAACTTTATCTTAAAAATACATGGAAAAATACATGTGGGTTGTTTGTTGGGTTTTTTTTAAATAAATTGCAAATGTAAGAAGGTCAAACACCAGACACGCTACCAGCGTTGTCTGTTAGTACACTGTGCTCATGAAAATTAGAGCTGAAGACCTCCAGTGAGTATACTGAACCAGCAGTTACCCATTAAAAACTGAGGTGCTTTCTTCATGCAGGGATTTATAACTGAGGGGAGAATTAATAAAGGCTAATTTTAGCCTGGTGACACTAATCCTCCTAAGTTTATTGCAGCAAAAAGAAAATGTCTTCTGTAGAGGCAATTCAGAGGAGCTGAGATAGGTTCCTGCTCTGAACCATCCTCCAGAGAAGACTCTCTGCACTGATTAAGGTTTGGCCAGGCTTGGCTCCTTTCTTCTGCTACATAAAAAGTATTTGCTGCAGAAATAGGCAGGCCTATGGAAGAAACTAGAGCTTCATGTAAGTAGTGGAGCACGTTCATCTCTACATGCTTCTCTCCCGCCTTGAGGTCAGGCGTGAGTGTCACCTGTGTTAGGTGTTCAGTTTTGTCTGGCTTCCCCCTCCAGCTGCAAGCAGAAGAAAGAAGGACCCCTTCACAAGGCACTGAATCAGGTGCTACTTTAGACGCCTACGTGGAATGAAATGTAGAGACTCACACTTTCATTTCAGACTTCAAGGAAAGCTTTTCTATTTTTCCAACTGCTTCAGTTTAATAAGAGCTACTTTTTCACCTCATGTACCTACCTGACCTTGCTTTTTACTTTACACAATCACAGCTATCACAGTGCTACAACAATAAGTTAGGATTGGCCATGAAATGCTCAGAAGCGAAGATCCAATGACAAAATCCCATCCCACGTAAGCCTTAAGGAGTGGGTGTTTAAGTCCCATAAATAAGACTAGTTCTCACAATCTGATATTTCTAGAAGACACCTGAGCAGTTAATAATATGCTAGAACTGGCAGAATGGTACAGAACAGTGTTGACATCGATCAGCATTCATGGTCCAGATTGATATTTGTCATGGAGTTTGGTATTGAAAAG